CCTCTTTGTTCGGTTCAAAACTGAACCTGACAATGGGGGCCAGGATAGTGTGTTGAGGGAGCCAGGGTGGATGGTGGGGCTTCACGGTCATGGCAAGCATCTCTGGTTTCTGTCCTTGGAGCTCAGTTTTCACGTCTGTTAAATGGGTGCTCCTGATGGGGCGTAAGAAGCAGGCACAGAGGAGTGATGGACACTCCGCACAGTGGGTCCCTTCTTGTTCTTTGTCCCTGTTGTCTTTCAGGTCCTCCCTAAGCTCCTGGTGAGATGGGGGAGGCTCTGCAACAGACAGTCTGCACGGACATCCCTGTCCTCGTGCTCAGCAAGCCAGCTGAGCTGCAGCCCCGTTGAGATGCTCCTTCTTTGAGAGTTGCAGTCAGTAGGAGCTGATCAAATGGGGGAGAAACCCGCCCACCAATATCTGAAGAGCTGAAGCAGCAGCCGGGCCTGCACTCGAAGCGGAAAATCCCCTGCAGCATCAGAGTGGAGAAGGGCAGAGCCTTGGGTCTCTTGATGCTGTGAGTTTCTCAGCTGTTGGCGGTGGCCACCTCAGCGATCCAGCACAGACCTCATTCCTGCAGGGAGACAGGGGCAGTGGCTAGATCAGCCTCAGAGAGCCTCTCTGGAGGTGAAATGGGCCAGGCAGACACAGGTGCGAGGGTGGGTGTCACACAGGCTGAGCACTAGTTTCTGTTGTGGGAGTGTGGAGGCCACAGTTTCAAACATGGCTGCTGACTCTGCTTCGCCAGCTCTGACCCTTTGGGCCCACGGCTGTTTGTAGGAACCGGGCCCTAGAGTCTGGGGCAGTGCAGTGTGCTGAGGAATTGGGGGCTCTCTGAGGTATCTGAATGATCTTCCTTGGTAGCAGATTCTTCCCAGTTGAGGTCACATGCTGCAGACTCCTGGCCTCCAGCTTTTTCTGCCAACCCCCTGTCAATAACTGTGTGTCTTTCCCGCTTCTTTCTTTCTTTCTTTCTTTCTTTCTTTCTTTCTTTCTTTCTTTCTTTCTTTCTTTCTTTCTTTCTTTCTCTTCCTTCCTTCCTTCCTTCCTTCCCTCCTTCTTCTTCTTCCCTTCTTCTTCTTCTTCTTCTTCTTCTTCTTCTTCTTCTTCTTCTTCT